TCAAAAAAAAAAAAAGAAAGAAAGATGAGGTGGAGAAAGAAGCATGGCCAGATCATGGAGGTCCTTGTAAACCACGCTCAGGAATTGAGGGTCAGTTTTGTTCTAGGTGCAGTAAGGAGTCACTGAAGTCAGGAGGCCGAAAGAGTAAGGAACTAAGGTGGTGACAGTGGGGGTGGAGATACGTAGACAAATATGAAATCGTGTTTAAGGCATATAATCAAGGCTAGGCGCAGTGGCTCAAGCCTGTAATCCCAGCACTTTGGGAGGCCGAGGCGAGAGGATTGTCTGAGCGCAGGGGTTCATTACCATCCTGGGCAACTTAGTGAGACCTTGTCCCTACAATAAGTCGAAAAATCAACCGGGCATGGTAGTGTGCACCTGTAGTTCCAGCTCCTTGGAAGGTTGAGGCGGAAGGATCGCCTGAGTCCAGCAGGTCGAGGCTGTGGTGGCTGTGAGCGTGCCACTGCACTCTAGCCTCGGCTACAGAGTGAGACTCCGACTCAAAAAAAAAAAAAGGCCAGGTTCAGTGGCTTAGCCTGTAATCCCAGCACTTTGGGAGGCCGTGGTGAGTGGATTGACTGAGCCCATGAGTTCAAGACCAGCCCGGGTAACTTGGCCAGCCCTCGTCTCTACAATAAATTTTAAAAAGTTAGCCGGGCATGGAAGCATGTGATTGTAGTTCCAGCTACATGGAAGGCTGAGGCGGAAGGCTTGCCGGAGCCCAGCAGGTTGACGCCGGGGTGGCCGTGAGTGTGCCACTGCACCCCAGCCTGGGCAACAGAGCGAGACGAAATGAGAGCAGAGGTGCCAACCCCGTGGTTTCTAGTCTCAGCTGCAGAGCTGGCGCCCAATGAGAGGAAGACCCAGGAGAAGGAAGATGTTACAGGGCTGATGGCGGATTCAGTTTGATGCATGTGGAACTGAAGCGACCACGGGGGCCCCAGGGGATGCTTGGGGAACAACTGGGGTGTGGGGTCTACAGCTCAGGAAAGGTCTGGGCTATGCACTGACCTGAAAGACATGAGGAGCCACGGGAGTGGATGGGACCGCTCATGGCGAGTGAGTGGAGTGGGAAGAGTGGAGGGCGGAAGGAAGAACGCTTTCAGGACTGTTCTGGTGTCTTTCCACCAGCCCACAGAGCGCTATTCCTTACCTCTTAGTTTCTAGTCAAAGGAAATAAAGACACACACCTTCGTCCATCTGGTTTATTTGCCGATAGCTATCATTTGGGACCTAGCCGACATCCCTTCTTCAGTTAGACTGCCAAACTAGAGAAGGGTCGGGGCGACAACACAGAATTAGGGCTGGGCGGTGCCGGGGTGGTGAGGGGGGATGGGCTGGCTCCTCAGGAGTAACTGCCTGGACCTCCCAGGGGGATGACGAAGACCGAGATGTCATCCCCGGACCCCAGCTTGTTGTTGGGAAGGCGCCAGCCACGGTCACGGGGGGTGCCCCGGGCTCCCAGGACCAGAGCTTGGGCCAGAGCTGTGTACCTGCCAGGAGCACACGTGCACATTCACGCACCGACACGTCTCAGGAAAGCAGAACCACAGGCCCACAAGTGGGTCCCCAAGCTGTGTTTCCCTGTGCCCCTTCCTTCCCCAATGTCATCCCCTCACCGCCGTGGCATGCGACCCTACCTGCTGGGGTCATTGGGCTCATAGGCTGACAGCACCCTGTCCACAGTGGCGGCTACCTCACGATCATTGGTGACGTCCCACAGGCCATCTGTTCCCAGGACCAGCACATCATCCGGGCAGTGTTCGTACTGTGTCAGGTCATATACTCGTACCTGGTGGGGAAGGGGGGCAGGGAGGACAGAGGCATGGGGTGGGGTGGACAGGGAGCGTGGGGATACAGAGACCCCCAGGGAAGGCGGGATGTGATTAAGGGGCCCCCCACCGCTCACCTCCGGGAAGCAGGAGAGGAAGGGCTTGATGGGCAGGGTGGAACTGCAGACCTTAAGGTTGTGGTCCCCCAAGCCCCGGGTCACCCCAATGGTGGCCATCACCCGAGCCTGAAAGAAGCGATGAGGGTGCCGCTAAGAGTCCGCTCAGAACCCGCGGGCGTGCCCCGCCCCCCGACCCTCCCCTCAGTAGCATCTCCACCTCCCGAGACAGGTTGTGCTGGGTCCCCTGCCCTCTCCCACCTCTACCGTGGAGTTTACCTTTTTGCCCTCCCCACAGACCAGAGGAAACCTGAGATCCTCCAGCTCGATCTTTTTGTAGGCCCTGGGAGGGGGAGTAGAGGAGGCATCACCCAGGCATCAAAGCCCCTCTGCCCTGGAAGCTGCACACCCTCACGACATCCCCGAGAAGGGCCGCATCCCCCCAGCTCCCAGGCTGGCCCAGCCTCCAGCTGCCACATTGCTGCTGGCGAGGGCCAGGTGGCGTTGCCATGGGAACGGGCCCCAGCTCCGGGGGAAGTGTTACCAGCCGGTCATGTTCTGGTCCCGGTACAGCATCCTCTGCCCCAGCTCCTTGGGCAGAACTCTGCGGGGGAACTCCAGGTGGGTGAATTCACCTCCTAGCAGCTCTGGTTTCAGGAAGCCCTGGGGTTAGGAGTGGCCAGACAGAGCAGAAGGCCAAGGACATTACGCTCACGGCATACCCTGGTACCCAGACCCTGTTAACTCCCGCAGACCCTTAGAGGTGGTCATGGGTCACCCGCTATGCTAATATTAGCATATATTAATTCACTCCTCACAACAACCCTTAAGGCAGGAACTATCGATGACAGAGAGGTTAAGAGAATTAAGGTCACACAGTTAGCAAAGTACTCAAAAAAGACACACCCCAGGTGTCCGGCTCCAGAGCCCATGCATTCAAGCTCTGAGTCAAACTGCCTTTCAGCGGGCTTTGCTGTGTTCTTGCCCCACCTCTGACTCTACTTCGGGCCTCGGCTGGGGCCACCGTGGACACACAGGACCAGCCTCAGCTCCTTCCTGCCACATCCTCCCCCCAGCACAGCCCTGCATGCCATGGTCCACACAGCGGTATCCCCGTAAGCTCCCAGTGAGGAGCCTTCTGACATGTGGTGGGGGTGTGACAAGTCCTCCAGGGACAAAGGGTGCAGAGAGGAACAAGACCCAACAAGGAATCGGGGGTAAGAGTTCCCACTTACAAGCAGCTGAAGACGCTGGCGCTCAGTCTCTGGGGTAAACTCCCGGGACATGGGAATGATTTCACCATTCCGGACAATGATGGCTCTGCTCAAAGAAATAGAAGGTTTCAGCCTGGTTCTCCTCAGCTCCCTCATGGGAAATTCCAGAAAGACCAGGCCCTCTGATCCTCATTTTTCCTCAACTCATGGAGATCTCAGGTTTTTTTTTTTTTGTTCTTTTTGAGTAGGAGTCTCTGTCTCCCAAGCTGGAGAGCAGCGACATGATCACAGCCACGGCATCCTCGACCTGCTGGGCTTGGGTGATCCTTCTGCCTCAGCCTTCCAAGTAGCTGGAACCAGAGACGTGCGCCACCATGCCCAACTAATTATCTGATTTACTGTAGAGATGAGGTCTGGCCAAGTTGCCCGGGCTGGTCTTGAACCCCTGGGCTCAGGCAATCCTCTGCCTCCGCCTCCCAAAGTGCTGGGATTACAGGCATCGAAGCCACCACACCCAGTTCAGTCTTTTCTTTATGTCTATGATTCCCCCAGACCCCTCCAATCTTTCATTTTTAACCCTCACCTCCCATGCTTTTATGTTCCCCTATCCCAGAGAGTGCGGTCCTCCACAGTCCCCCCAAAGCCCCCCATACCTGCTGTCACCTGCATTGGCCACGTACACCTTGCCTAGCAGGTAGACCACCACCAGTGCACAGCAGCCCCCCTCCACCTGGTGGCCACGCCGCTCCCGGGCCATCTGCTCATCCTGCCACATAAGGAAGGGGTCAGAGGGGGGTGGAAGAGGAGGTTCCAGGACCACAGCCACCCCCACCCCCATTTGCAGAAATCAACTGGCCCAGCCAGGCCACTCTGGAGGAGACAGGGGAAGACATGGGTGGCAACTGTCCCTTCTCCTTCCCTCTGAACCAAGCTCTGCCTGGACTCATAAAGGAATTGTGGGTCCTCAGGGTCACCCCCTCAGGTCACCTGGCTCCCACACAGAGTTGACCCTTGGCCGAGGTCACCCACTCACCATGAGCTGGAAGGCGTTCTCAATGGCCCCGATGACCAGGCTTTCATGGGTCACTTCTTTTTGCGAAGACCAGCAGGATGGAGGACCCACCAAGTGAGAGGGATTAGAGGAACCTGGGGCCCCTGGGCTGGATGAGAGGCTGATGGGGGGTGGCGAGGGGTCCTGAAGTATCTCTACCAGGTCCTTTAACTTCTCCCGGATATGGCGATGTAGGAGTCTTGAGGCCATTTCAGCAGCTCCGCCCCCTGCATGCCCATCAAACAGGCCCCAGTAGTAGAAGCAGAGTCCCTGGTGGGGATGAAGTTGGAGGTGAGTGAGTGTGTGTGTGCGCGCATGCGCATGTGTGTGTGTGCATGTGCGTGTGTGTGTGTGTGCGTGTGTGTGTGTGTGTGTGTGTGTGTAGAGAGAAGAACTGGTCATCCAAATAAACATTCAGAGAGGAAGTCAGGGCTTGGTATTAAATGCAAATTAAGTTTATTCACTTATCCACATATATTTACACAGGACTTATACTATGTCAAGAGAAACGAAGGCCTAAAAAATGCCAGACTCAGAGAATAAAAGATGCAAAACTCAGCACTGCTAATAAATTAAAGCAGCCATAAATGTGTGAGCATCTATCTATCTATCTATCTATATATATATTTTTTGAGTTGGAGTCTCATGCCATCGCCCAGACTGGAGTGCAGTGGCCGCTCCCGGCCACCGCAGCCTCAACCTGCTGGGCTCCGGCGATCTGCTG